TTGCTTTGTAAGTAAAATATCCTCCAAAGGTTCTATGCCAAACCTATTTCTGATAACAGATTTTTTCAATGTACTTTGGAAAAATTCTCTATATACTGATAAATACTTACTTTTAATAGACTGCTCAAGACTATGCCAGACGTTGGCTTGGTGCCGAGAGCGTAGCGAGCAATAGTAGTGTCAAATGTAAACAAGTGAAAAGAGTCGCTATGAACGGTTGCAATTTACTTAATATCCACTCGGTTGCGTGAGACCATTACGTTCTATTTTAAATCCGTAACACCATAATAAGATATTTACCTTGTTTATACCTACGCAAGAACCGCATTAACAAAAAACTGATTTTGCCCAACATATGTATATGTATTTATTTCAAGCATTTATACCTCGGTCTTTATAGCGCACTCGATAAAACCGTATTCAAAAGCAAACAACTCCTGCTGCTTTTATATGACATTTCTTTAACAAATAATTTGCGCAGTTGACCTAAATGGGAGCGAGCAATAATTCGAATTTATTATAATAACTAGCCGGTCTCGTATGCGCGAGGCTTCGCCACGCGCTGAATGTGTACATAAGTATGTAAATATACGCATTTGGAGAAAAAAGGTGGCAACCCTATTAAAAAAGCCCTTTTGCACACTTTATTGCCAAGCACTTTCATTTGATATCTAATGTTGTTAATGCAACGAACGGATCTTCTAATTTTTTAGACAGACGGCAGCACTATTCAAAAAAATGAATAAAATCTTACTAAATATCTGCAGGCCAAGTCCTTTCATTCGACAACTCACTTTTTAGTCCAACAAACAGCCCACATCTTATAATTTTTCGTATAGGCGGCAACCCTTTTCGAAAAAATAAAACCTTATTGCGCATCCGAAGACCCCATTTTTTTATTTGAATAAACTGTGCAAATATGTGTATGCAAGCTTTTTCACTTCACATCTCACTTTTTTATATTTCAAAGAACAGATCTTATAATTTTGTAGAGAGGTGGCAACTCTAAAGAAATTCTATGAATGTGTGTGTGCGATAATAGTAGATTGACGCATACTTATACATATGTTAGAGTTGGGTTGAACCGGGCTTGAACCCAGACACTGGTAGCGTGCACTGCCAACCACTACACCACAGGGGCCGAATATTAGAGATTGGCATGGTAAAAAAATCGTTTTTGCTTTATGCTATATTAGGATGAAATAGTAATTTTTAAATAGATGGCAACCCCACTCGTTGTTGTACATACGACCATGCCCACTCATTTAATATCTCATTTTGTTATCCAACGAACAGTGAAGATCTTATAATTTTAAACAGGTGGCAACCCTACTATAAAAAATAATACATTTTTGCACATCTAGAGGCTTAATCTTTTCGTTTGACAGTGATGGTGCAGATCTGATACCTTCGCTTATTAAGATTGATTATAGTAATTTTCTTCACAGGTGGCAACTCTACTCGAAAAAAATAAAACATGTATGCTACCCCCCTTATTTGACACCACTTACGATGATCTTATAATTTTTTATACAGGTACCAACCCTATAGAAATTCTAAATACCAAAGGTCACGCTCCTGTCTATACAGAATATATTAGAAAAAATTCGTTTAGTAGTTTTCGATATTAGCGCATTCAAAGAATCTCTACTTTCTTGTATACTATTTGTAGGTAAGTTAGAAACATTTCAATAGGTGGCAACCCTATTCAAAAAAATTAAAGCTTTTGTACATGCGAATGCCATGCTCTTTCATTTGGTATATCATCTTGTAATCCAACGAACGGTGAAAATCTTTTAAGTTTTCAACAGGTGGCAACCCTATTCAGAAAACTAATACATTATTGCATATCTAGAGCAGAGGTGGCCAAAACTCACACAATCATATATTTCAATTTTGCTAAATGATGAGAGAATGAAGAGAATAAGCCGCCCACGCTTCTGATGCAAACAGTGTTGTCAACGATTTCAAGTTGCAAATTATAAAAAAGAGGAATTTTTTTAAATTTGGAAATAGTGTGAAATAATTTGTATTACTCTTCTTATTTTGAAATAAAAGAATAGGAATTTTTTAGCATTATTTTAAATCCATCTTTTTATTTGTGTGCATATGTACGTAATAATTTATTAACTAAATTTTTGGGAATAAGGGGAAATGGCGCTTAACAAAAAAGTTTGTCGTCCGTGCGATTTCTTCATGACACACCAAACATTGAATTTTTTTGAATTTCTGAGCGTAATGAAATTTGGTTTATGCATCCGTTTTGAATCACATCTGAATCACAATTATCTTGTTTATACCTACGAAGAAACCGCATTAACGAAAAACCGATTTGACTTAACACTAATTTCTTTCTAACGTTTATTCCTCAGTCTTTATAGTGCACTCGATTAAACCGTATCGAAAAGAAAACAAACTTCGTTACTTTCATTCGATATTTATTTAATAATAGATTTACGCGGTGGACCGAAATGGAAGCGAACAGCAATACAAATTTATTATGATAATAAATAAAATTAAAAACGGGTTGTATAAAGAAGAATAGTCAATTTTGATTTTGCGTTAAATGAATTATTCGTTTATACGGATTTTTTAACCGATGTGAGAAATAAAAAACCGATTTGAAAACAAATTTGAGTCAATACACTTTTCGATTTCAACGCGCATTGAAATTTCGTTTATGCCTCTGATTTGAACAGCTAACAGGGTTAAGGCGCTTTATGTGTCGGTATAAACAAGATAATTGTTATCAAAAGTTGTAATTTCCCTCCAGTACTACTGGAGTCAACGGCTACTTTTGAACCGCTACTGCACCGACTCCTAGGTAAGTAGCTACTTTATTAACGCGTGGTAGTGCACAAGGTAGTGCAGAGTCGAACCAGTCGGAAGCAGAATCGCGAAAAACTACGACAGAGGGCGCCCATAAATCACGCAAGTGACTACTTTAGTAACTCCCTGTAGTGCAGAGAGAGCCGATGGCGACTACCGCCTAGGACATTGCCTTGTAAAAGTAATCGCTGAAATACACTGCAAGTAGTCGGTCGATAATTGACGGACGACTCATCAGTCCTGTAGTCGCTCCCCCGTACTGCAGAGCTTCTTCTCAATAGAAATGCTCTAATAAAAATCATTTGTATATTGAACTTATGTGAGCCTTAGGGCCGGTTCTTCAATGTCTGGTTAACATAAATCAGATGTAGAACCTTCGGTTAAATGCAGCGACTGCTTTATGGATCACATGTTATATGTATGATGTCGATATCGTCGATAATGATGTTTAACTGAGAGGTACTGATAACCCAGTCATTCAACAATGGCTGCCCTTATGCTTGAGAAGCAAACACATATTAATATTTTCACTTTCGTTGCGAATTTTTTGGCAAACTTGAAATTTTTATTATTTTTGTGTTTTCTTTTTCTTTCCTTTATGTGTGTGAACAAGACTATTTATTAAAACACAGGCACTCTGCAAAAAAAAATTAATATTTATCGGCAAAATGCGTTTACGTAAATTGTTAAAAATGTCTATTACCTTGTTTATGCCTGCGCAAGAACCGCATTAACAAAAACCGATTTCATTCAACATATATTTGTTTCAAGTATTTATACCTCTGCCTTTATAGCGCACTCGATGAAGCCGTATTCAAAAGTAAACAAAATCTGCTATTTTTATACATTTCTTTAATAATTAATTTACGCGGTTGGCCGAAATGGAAGCAAACAATAATTCGAATTTATTGTAACAATTACCTTGTTTATACCGACACATAAAGCGCTTTGACCCAGTTCACTGTGATTCAAAACGGAGGCATAAACTAACATTCAACACGCTCAGAAATTCAAAAGTGTATTGACTCGAATTTGTTTTCAAATCGCTTTTTTATTTCTCACGTCGGTTAGAAAACAAGTATAAACACATCATTAATTTGACGCGAAATGAAAAATGGCCGGTTTTCTTTATACAGCCCGTTTTAAATTTGAATCATTATTACAACAAATTTAAATTCTTGTTCGCTTCCATTTCGGTCCACCGCGCAAGTTAATTAATAAAGAAATATTCGAATAAAAATAACAAGTTTAGTTTACTTTTGAATACGGTTTCAGTGAGTGCGCTAAAGTGACACCGGTATAAACGCTTGAAAGAAATATGTGTTGAATCAAACCGGTATTTTGTTAATGGGGTTTTTTCGTAAGTCTAAACAAGGTAAATAATTCAAATTTAAAACGGGCTGTATAAAGAAAACCAGCCTATTTTCACTTCGCGTCAAATATGTGATGTGTTTATACATATTTTCTAAATGATGTGAGTAATAAAAAACCGATTTGAAAACAAATAGCTTGTTTATACCAAAACATAAAGCGCTTTGACCTAGTTCGCTGTGATTCCAAATGGAAGCATAAGCCAACTTTCAATACGCTCAGAAATTCAAAAGTGTATTGACTCGAATTTCTTTTCTAATCGCTTTTTTATTTCTCGCATCGGTTAGAAAACAAGTATAAACACATCACTAATTTGACGCGAAGTGAAAATAAGGCTGGTTTTCTTTATACAGCACGTTTTTAATTTGAATTATCATTATAACAAATTTGAATTCTCGTTCGCTTACATTTCGGTTCACCGCGCAAATTAACTATTTAAGAAATATCGAATAAAAATAACAAATTTTGTTTACTTTTGAATACGGTTTCAGCGAGTGCGCTATAACGACACAGGTATAAATGCTTGAAAGAGATATGTCAAATCAGATTTTTTTAATGCAGTTCTTGCGTAGGTATAAACAAGGTAAAATTCAAGTCAATACACTTTCCAATTTCAACGCGTTATAAACGAAGTATATGGTTTTAGTTACTTAGCTGTTGTGACTCATTACTGTAATATTATCCGTATTGTTCGGATGTATTGTATGTACCTTTGAAAGTCAATTAAATTTAGATCTGAAATTTCCTCTTACTTCAATTACCATGTATAGTATTTTGTATAAATATTGAGTTTAACTTACCTCCTGGAAAATGCCACGAACTTGATCCCTCTCAGTAATATCAATACAGTAATACACTAATTTCTTTCCTGTAAGTTCTTGTACTCTACTTAAAGATTCGGGAAGTTTGGAGGCTCCAGAGCTGTAAGCGTTGCTCAAATTATCTACACAAATCGCGTTATAACCTGCATTTAGCATCTCCAAAACAGTATGAGAGCCAATATATCCTGCGCCTCCTGTGACCAAAACATTTGGAGGTGACATTTCCAGCTACGTAAATATGTATGTTCTGTAAAAAATTAAGTATATTATTTTCAAGTTTTAGTTTGGGTAAATAGTTGGATTAGTATTGCTTTCGGTTAGTAGATGTTTAATATAATAATATAAAAGATAATTAGAATAACATCTGTTTACTTTATTGATCCACGGGAAAAGGATCAGAAAGCCTTAGAAAATGCCTCTATATGTGTAACAAAATCAAGTATATTCATTTAGTTTTAGTATTTTGCCGGCTCGAGGTCAATTTTGAAAAATCAATTAAACACAAGATTTTAGTGTTTTGTTTCCGATATATATTAGTTACGCTTCGGTAACCGTCCTCAGGGTAACTATTGACAAACATGTAAAACATAAAATATACATAAACACAAATTTCAAAACTATAGGGGAATTCGCTCTTGTGTGTATTCGTTATATGTGGTGTAATTGTAACTGCATGAGCGTGTGATTTGTTGTTGCTAGAGGTAGATCAATTACACATGCAACAACAACCCCACACTCATCCAGTTCCACTTACGCAGGACACAGAAGCGCGAATTCCACTAATAATCCCTGCAGAAAATCTGACTAGCTCAAAACTAGCGGAGAGCTAGACCTTTTTCCGACAGTACTAGTTCTAGCTCAATACCCAAGCAATGCTTTCAACTGTCCAGTTTTACACGACGATGTCATTGGCGGTGGCAATTGTAGCCCAGTGCATTACTGTGCAACTAGTTTTTAACCGGTTCCGTTTTGGACAGTTTTTTTTACAAGAAAAAGTTTTTAAAGATTCGATTTTGGGATATTTTTTTACAGATTCCATGTTTATTGCACAACTGCCTCCACCGCGATTTGAGCTCCGATTTGACCAACGATGCTTGGGTCGTAGGTCTTCTCGCTGAGCTACTTCCATAGTGAGAAGTGAGAATTTGTACGCTTACACCGAAAGTTTCAACTGTCCCGCTCTGCAGCCGTTTTGCACCAGTTCAGAGATAGTTCTGAAATATGTATCTCGAAACTAGCGCTTTGTCAGAATGTCTCTAAATTTTACTGCAGGGATTAAACACAAAATGCATACATACATTGATTTACACGACGCACCGTTTGACGTTGAGTTTTGTACTGTCGATTTGTTTGTAAGCAGGTATCTGTACAAGTGAGCGCAGTTTTCAATGCCCATTTTGAACAATAATGATAGAATACAAGACTGCGCCCATTTGAGAAGATTTTTGAGCGTAATTTTTGCGTGACGTCGTTTTGGTACAATTGCGAGAGAGACAAGAAAAATCGAAGGGAAAATGTAAACAATGCGGAAAAACGTGTGAATATCAATGTTAAATGATCCAATTTTGCAGGAGTTAATAACTATACAAAGTTTAATTAAATAGGAACACGTAGCAATGATTTTGGGCATGTAGCCCTTCAGGCAAGTACAATTTTCAGCACATGCCGGCTGTTGGAAAAATGCATGAAGTTATTGTATGTAGACTGTACAGAAAAAAACTTACTTATTTCGCACGCTTGCCTTTTGTTTTCAATTTTACGGGGGCGGATGGGGAGGGGCGTGGGTTTTGATATCCAACCCACTAGAAAGAGCACAGTTCACTCTTTGTAAAACGTCACACCTGACCCCTCGAAACCTTCCATAGACCCCTGGGGAACCATTGGAAAATGGTCTAAATTTAGCATTTCTACACCTGAAATGTAAACTCGATAAACAGTATTTTTGAGCCCCTTCTATTGTCGAAGGTATTCAACATTTCTTGTTCATATAACTCCGGCTACGCCATCCACAGTATATTTGCGCAGAACTCAATCCAATCGCAATCTCTGTTTCTCTCAATCTTGCGTTTTGTAGTTCAGTCTTATGTTTGCCGGTGTGTTTATTATATGTAACATTTCTAACACTAGCCACGTACGACGGGCAATTTCGCCCTTTGTGGGGCATCACGAGCATGTTCGCCAAAAATCAAAAATGTTGATTTTCAGTGAGCATGTTCGTCGTTTGGGGCATGGTTTGCGAACATTGCATTGGAAACAAAAACAACAACCTCATTTGGTGCTGATGTTTGCAGCGTGCACATTGGTGGATAAATGGATCCAAGCCATGTGAATTAATTGAATTTTGGGTAAATAACGCTAAATTACTATATGTATATGCATGTACATTAGGGTAGTCCAAAAATGCATGTGAAAAAGTAAAGTCGGAATTTGTATGCTCTCACCCCCCTAGGATTGTTCTATACCGAAAAAATATATACCCGTGTTTTTTTTATTTTGAAATCAAAAAATATTTAGAGGTCGCTCAAAGCGCCCAAAGTTTTCCATGTATTTTATATGGGGAAAAACCCACTTTTCGTAGAAATGGTATAGAATAGTTAAAAATAAAAATATATGTTTGTACCATAAAAATCTGTTTGTCTGCAGGAGATTCCCAGTAATCATACCCAATTGTTTATTTAACCATTTTTTCATTGCAAATATAATTTATAGGTCCGCCAAAGGCCACCCAAACCCCAAAAAATGCAATGGGGCGCCCAATAAAAAATCGTTAGTATTAAAAATGGTTAAATAGACAATTGGGTATTATTATTAAAAGTCTCCTGAAGAAAACCAGAGTTTTTCGATCGAAAAATATTGACTTTCAAGAATTTCCATTTCTACGAAAAAATTTATTTTTCCCATGTTTAAGCCGCCACTTAAAGCGCAATACCACGGCCGTGCGCGCAATCCTTGGCCGCAGCAGTTTGGCAGTTGACCGACGTCAACTCCGAAAATATGAGTACCCCTATCATCGTGCGAAATCCGCAGAAAACAGTTTAGCAACTACCAGCGGTTAACGCGCACGCGCCCCTTTTGAACTTCATATTGTGTCAAACCTATAAGCTAATTTTTAATAAGTAACCTTATTGTATATGCCCATACATGCATATACTCTTAACCGTGAAGTTTAAGGTATGAAGAACTAAGCTACATAAATTGAGAATAATATAGAAATAAGTCTTTCCTTTTATCGGAAAAAGAGTGTGTGTGCAAGGTGAGTGCGAAAGGCGACCATTGGAAATATTCATGGTCCTTCGCAGCCAACCGTGGCCCAGCTCCTAAAGAGAAAAAAACACTTAAAAAAAGAAATTAAAAAAAAAATCCGTACTCGTACGTCCGCTAAACTAATGTAAAAAGTATTAAAATGTGGAAAAATCAATAAATCGATGGCTGAGTGGAAGATCGACCTATCTCGGCAGCCAGTTCCAAAACGCCCTATCTCAGAAAACTTTTCAAGAACGCCCTACTTCAGAATCTGATTGAAAAACGCCCTATTTCGGAATTTTATTGAAAAACATCCGAGCTACACACATCAGCCAAGCAGCCATCATCAGCAGCAACATCAGCAGCCAACAATAGCATCAGCCGTAACAACAGGCAAAGCAAAGAGCGTACTTACATATACACATAACATAAAGGAAAGTAGTGAGTAGGCAAATTTTAAGTTTCTTAAAAACTAAAATAATATAACTAATTTTCTCAAAAGTTATATTATTAAATATAAACTGCCAACGAATATATACATACATATACATATATATAATTTCATAAAGGGCGTATTTATTCTCGCCAAAAACGGCAATTTGCCGCTATTAAAATTTTTGTAGAAAAATTCCGTTTTCCGGAAAGCCACATACCGCCAATCTTATATATATATAAGTATATGTACATATATACAAATTCTGATATATACCCCAAATTAATTCCGTTGCAGTTTATATGCCTACTGTGCCCCACTGTGCAAGAACAAAATGTTAGCACATTAAAATCATATACTTTCCTCTGCTTACCAATTTCTGCCGTTGGTCGCATAGTTCGTTGAACTTGGCTAAACAAAGTGCCGAAAACATAAGTGCATTTTTTCCCCATATACCATATGTACATACGTAACATATAAGCATTTTTACAAGTTGCATTTTCTGCAAACTATTCGCATAATAGCTAAGAGAGTCGTTGTTGTTCATCGGACAATACAGTCCACATACAAGAATGATAGAATACAAGATTGCGCCGATGAGAGGGGATTTTTGAGCGTAATTTTTGCGTGACGTCATCTTGGTGCAATTGCGAGAGAGAAATGCCAAAACGCATATAGAAATATGTAAACAATGCAGAAAAATGTGTTAATTTTAATATTACGTGGCCCAATTTTGCAGGAATCAATAAATATACAAAGATTCATTAACTAGGAACACGTAACAATAATTTTGGACATGTAGCCCTTTAGGTAAGTACGATTTTTAGCACATGAAAAAATTGATATATTAACAGTGTTTGCAATTTCATGTAGACCAAAAGGAAGATGTGCAACAAAGTGAATTTTTGGACTCGCCATTGTAAAAAGCCATGCAGAGTGCATATTTATATTTGTGGACGGAAGCCAACCACCATAAACTCCACAGCTGTTGACTCCACTGCTTTTATTTGATGACTTTTGTACCATTTACGAGTGTGACTTCTTTGGAAACAAATATTCTATGTAAGTAAAATATAATTTAAGCTGAACTTTTAAATGTATAATAATTTGGGCACTGTTTTGTATTAGGTACGTAACAGCGCGGTAAGATGCCGCTTGAATTAGCGCCTGGCGACCTTATCCACTGGTGCATTACCTCATACCAGCACTAAAAATATTATTTTCAATATCTTCACTAGTAAAGTGCTTCATGCACACATTTCTCGATTTGGTGTTTAATGCATCTCCACGCCGGCAGAACTGCTGCCACTTTTTCGCCAGATTTGCGTCCGTAGGAAACGAAAAAAAACTTATATCGCACGCTTTCCTTTTGTTTTCACTATTACTTTTTGCCACGGCACACTTCATTTTGCTTTGTAATGTCTCAATAATTGTTTAAAACCACGCAGAAATATTAACGCACATATATTAAAATTGTTATTTGGTTTTTTCGTATGCCCACAATCAATAATTGCACCAAGATGACGTCACGCACGCAGCTGATTCTGTCGCAATCCCTATTTCTCTCAATC